AATTCTTGAATACTAATGGTACTAATGTAAAGAAATTTCTTTCTCAAACGATGCCTCATATAATATTGAGAATATTTAGTTAAGAGGAATTTTACATACGGTAAAAAAATGACAATAAATTCATTTACAGTTTAACCTCTATACATAGGCAGCCCTATTTCATAGAGATTAAAATCAGATTTTTGTAGATTTTGATAAAAGTTGATGAAATGTGTGGTTGAAAAGTTGTGGGTTTCAAAAAATGTGTGGTTAAAATTAATTATTAACTTTAACTTGAAATTTTAATTGGATATTAATCTAAACCAAACAGGGGCCAAATAATACACACCTAGCTGACCTAAAATATGATAAAAATTTGAACTCGTGACCTTATCGGCTTATCATTAGAAAATCTTATAGCAAATTATAGAAGATGAAGATTCAAGTCAAAAAGACTTAATGTTGTCTTTATAAGATAGATGCATAATTACATGCGCACGCACATTTATCCTCAGAATTAATGGGATGAAGTTAGATCATTTTAATCTAAATTAAACTTTTGTCTTCTTATAATTGGGAAATGTTACCTCGTTCTAAATGTTACGTACTTGATCTTGGAGCGAATTTCACATAAATTTGAAATTATGTAACTGTATAGTGTTGATTGTGTGTTACAAGTGAAGCATTTATCTTATACTTCATGCATAAATATATGCCACACACATGCTCAAAAAGTGATACTTAAAAAAATTGGACTTTGTTAGTTATTTCCTTCAATTGCTCCAAAATCCGAGCTCAATTAATCTCCAAATAACACCACAATCAACCAATGAAACCACAAACCAACACTTCCCAAACACAAAAGGTAGCTCCAATTTGTACAGCCCACAAAGGACTATCAAACCAACACTTCCCAAACACAAATGGTTGCTCCAATTTGTACAGCCCACAAAGGACTAAGGGTGGAAAGATAACAACCAAAGCGAACAACCACAAAAGCTAAGAAGAAAGGACGGGTCTCTTAAGAGAAGGCACAAAGCCAAGGTTGCACTAAGCAAAAACAAGAACCTGTTTCTCTCTCTCTTCACAAAAAAGGACGGCTGCTACTAATTTTTTCCACACAAACAATAGTAATGGTCAACCAAATAAATAGGTTAGCAATATGTTTAGGCTTTAGGTCAAACAACAGGCCCAATAATAAAAGGGATAAGTGGGATATCACCTTAAAGTCATCCAAGTCATTTGGGTTGGGCCATGAGCAATTCTATTTGATTAGACTGCTTCAAATGGTCAAAGTGGATTACGTGATTCAATTGGTTTAATTGTAGTGTTGACATTTCACTTCACTTATCGGTCGAAGCTTATGAAGTATAATCCAACGAAAAACCAATTTAACATCATAGTCCAGGATTTATTGGGTATCAAAACCCAACAGACGTTAAAAAGAGGTTTCACCTAATCTACTCGCGTATGCAATGACATGTCAAAAAAAAGTTTTAATTCTTAAAAAATGATTCAAATATTACTGCATGAAAAAATGAAGAAGAAAATGACATAAATATTTTTCATATTGTTATTTTTAATTGTTAAAGTCCACCAATGTCAGCTAGAACGAAAATTAATAACAATTATAATCATAGCTTAAATCTTTTTTTAGTTTGTTGGTCAAATTCAAACAATTTGGTTATATAATGTTTTGGATTTCTTTACTTATTTGACAAATTCTTGCTACATAAATATTGGACAGTTGAGAATATTAAAAAAAAAAAAAATGGAAGAACCTTTTTTCACTGTCTTCAGCCAGTCCCGAGCAGGCCGGCCGGCCGCCCTCCTTCACCTCGTAACCTTCTCACAAAATACATCTATATATAACGCAAGTACTTCCTATTCAATTTCAGTTTGAAACTATTCTACGTACACCGTGCGTACATCAAATAGTGTAGTATTTTAGCTGACGCGTTAAGTATCCTGTATACAGAGACACAAGCGTGTGTACTTTACTTGTACTGCATGCACTGAGGCCGAAGATGAGGCACCCGGGGGCGTATTCGGGGCTACTTGCAGGAGGACTATCAGGCAAAACAGGACCTCATTCTTTGCCACTAGCTAGAATCAAGAAAATAATGAAGAATTCGAGCGACGAAGTGAAAATGATATCTGGTGAGGCTCCCATTGTTTTCTCCAAGGCCTGTGAACTGTTCATAGAGGAATTAACTAAAAGAGCATGGATGGTGACACTGAAAGCAAAGAGAAGGACAATTCACAAAGAAGATGTGGCTTTTGCTGTTATAAACACTGATATTTTCGACTTTCTTGTCAATCTTGTTACTGAAAATTCGAGTAAATCTGAGGAACCTCAGCCTGTAATGAAGGCATGAACAGTATGTTGTATATTGCTTATATAAGATTTCTTCTAATAACATATATGAAAACCTAAGTTAAATGCGTGTTCTCATTTGTTGTCCCTCCACCATCAAATTAAAAAATGTGATAGCCATGTCGGAACAGAAAATTTGAACCTTTTCATTGTGAATTTTTATCAAATGAGCTTATCATTTCTAATGAGGGGGAGAAAGGAATTAAACAATTAACTCTCTCTTGCCATTCCCAATGTATCAAAACAAAGGGAAAAATCTTTAATGCTATATTTGTAAATTTCACTCAGCATATTTGCACTGATTAAACGTAGGAAATGGGCCACAGCAACAGAGTGGTTGCCTTATTAAGCACCAGTCTCGTAAAACTAAAAATGGGCCAAAAACTAGTTTTCTCCTCTGGGCATGGGTCTTCTGAAAGCCCAAGTAGAGTGGTAAACCACCCACCGCCCCACTCCACCCCCAAATGAAGAAGCAAAAAATTAAAAATATTAGTAAGAAAAAAATTGTAACTTGATAATTTCCCAAACTTGGGACATATTTCAAATATCAATCAAGAATCAAATTTTAGCTGAAAAACATTATTTTCCTTTCGATCATCAGTCAATCTAATGAGATATACTCCAAAATCCATCTCATATATCATTCGAAACTTGACAATAATAAAACGAGAAAATAAAATTATAAGTCTCAACAACCCGAAAACTTACAGTGCACTTCTTTTAGCTATGTTTTTTCTACAGTAACTACGCAGTATAAACACATTACTACTACAATCAAGCAGAAAAACAACTAAAAACTACATCATTATTATCCGCAAAAACTGAGGCTGTAGGGTCGGTCGTGTATTCACTTGTCTTTGGTCGTGCCTTTTTCTCCATCTCAGGCCTTCTCGCCCCATCTGAGTTTCGACTAACATTTGCAGCTGCTTTCTTTTTCTCAATTCTTCTCTGCATAACGTACTCTTCAGAAATATACACATCCATGTGTAGCTCTCAAAACCCACAAAACATGCACAGAAGTGAGTGCAATTTATAGGGGAGGCACATGGGGTGGTCTGTGGGCGTTAAGGACCATGTTTTGGTTTAAACAAGCAAAGGCTGCACTCTTTTTTGTTGATATGCAGATACCTAGGAGCACTCGGTTTTCATTTTTTCTTTTGGCTCTCATTAGTTTGCATTTTTGACACATGGATGTGATGTAACACTTTTAATATCTACCTACACCTTTCTTTTCTCCTGTACACATGTACTTTCGATTTATGTCTCCTGTCCTTGCCAAGTGCTTCGCCATCTTGGAGGCACCGACAACATTAAGCCATTGTTTGAGCAATAACGATGATTGAACATGTTCAAAAACTGGAAAAAAGGCAAATTGACTTGATAGCACCTGTTTGTTTGTTTTTTTAATTGAACTGTCAATCATGTATCGACACGCGTTTTTCTGTATTTGAACCTATTTGTATAGCATGATTGTTGTTTGAGCCTCAAATTTTTAGAGAAAATGTATTTTAGGGTAGTGAGTTTTTGGATAATGTGTTGTTAAAAAATAGGGAAAATTTTAAATTTATTTATAAAATTATTTTATAAAAGAATGTGTAATTAAAAATGAGTTTTAGAAAAAATTGGACTCAAGACTAAGTAAGAAAAAGAATTTTATGCTGTGTTCAAAACATGGAAACGGTATTTGTATTATGAGGACTTGCATTACAGAATCTTGGATTGATTGGCAAGTTAATTGATCGAGAAAGGTTTTCTTGAGTTGCACTTCTACTTTGTTTCGACTCGTCATTAGGCACTGTTAAGTACTCATTTTTCTAAAATTCATTTTTAATTAAACTTATTTTTTACCATAGCGATTCACAACTTTTATCAATTTTTCAACCATATATTTCATTAAATTTTATTAAAATTTGCTAAAAATATGATTTTTAGGCAAACCTATACAATGCAATGCCTTCTTAAATATAAAAAATGGCGATAAAAATTGTTCTACCTACTAGATTTATTTCCTCCAACGTAAACCACCTAGAGATTTTACATTGGAGTCAGTTTTCTTGGATTCTTTTATAAGATAAATCGAACAACATTTGATATTATTAATGATGAAAAGAAATTATAATCTTATCACTGTATTATCTAATGTTGTCCAGTATTATGTACTATAAATACGCCGTAATGATTCCGAGTATTAAATTATACAAAAATGTTAAATGTACACATTTTGATTCACATTCACTTTCTCATCCCTCTAACATAGGGGGTAGGGCCTATGATTTTTAAAATTGCTGGCCCCACCCCCCATGTGAGGGGGATGTGAAAGTGAATGCGAATCAAGTGTGTAAGTGTAGCACTACTCTATAACAGAGTTGAGGATGAAGCTGGAGCTGATGAAACACTGCTGAATGGAAGCATCATTGTAATTGAAATCAGTTTATAGTTTTGTTGTTAGTAAATACATGTGTCATCTTTGTATTGGTATTAATCACAAATTAGTTTGCTTGTTAAGATCATCCCTCTCTATTTATATCACAGAATTGCATTGTAAAATTCGAGTTTGATTAATTGAAAGATCAATGCATTTTCCCTTTTCTGTCATCTCCGTTCTCTTGCTTTTTATTTTAATATGGTATCAGAGTAGGCCCAATTTTATAATGTTGGGTGCACTCAATATCGATTTGTTCACAGTTGTTTGACATGGTCCACGCTGTGCGTGAGGCGGCGTATTAGAGTCCCACATTAGCTAATAATATTTATACAATCCACTTAATAAGGTGAGGGCAATCCTCCCCTAATGATGGATCTAGCTCTTACCATATTCATTACTCAGACAACCCTGGGCTTGTGTCACAACCTCTTATTGGTGAAAACTATACTTCATGGAGTCAAGTAATGGTGATAGCACTATCCGTGACAAATAAACTTGGTTTTGTTGATGGATCTATACCAACGCCTGAAGATAATGTGGAGCATATTACTAATTGGATTCGAAGAATAACATAGTTATATCTTGGATACTTAACTCAATGTCTAAGGAGATTTCAACGAGTATTATTTACTCTAAATTAGCACATGACATATGGGTAGATTTGAAGGAAAGATTTCGGCAATGCAATAGACCTCGCGCATATTCCAGCTGAGACGAGAACTGATGAATCTCAATCAAGGTCAATTGTCTGTTGGTGTTTATTTTAAAAAACTGTAAACGATATGGGAGGAACTAAGCAACTATAGACCAACATGCTCCTGTGCAAAGTGTGTTTGTGGAAGTGATAAGAAGCTTTTCGAACATTACCAAATGTAGTATGTCATGTCTTTTTTGATGGGGCTGAATGATAGCTTTGCTCAAGTGAAAGGACAATTGTTGCTTATGGATCCCATACCACGTATCAACAAAGTATTTTCCCTTGTTTCACAAGAAGAACATCAAAGAAGCATAAGTGTCAATGCAGGAAATTCTGGCACTAATTCTGGTCCTAGAGACTCTATGTCATTCTATGTCAAAGTTGATCCTAAGAAGGGCAACTTAGGACCAATACATAACAAATTTCAAAGGAATGAGAGACCTATGTGTACTTATTGTGGATTAGAAGGTCACTCAGTGGACAAATGTTACAAATTACATAGATCGCCACCTGGTTATAAGGCGAGACAAAAGGCTAGAGATCAGTTAGGAGAAATGAGGAACCAGTCTAGACATGTTGTTGCAAATCAATTAGCCTTTGAATCAAATTCTGAGCCAGTACATGGTAATACTGGAGAGTTCATGCAGTCATTGAATTCTACTCAATATCAACAACTCATGAGTATGTTGAGCGATCATCTGACTTCTATAAAAGTCACCACAGAAACTAATGAGCTATCTAATCAAGTTTCAGGTATTTGTTTCTCTACTGCACTTAATTCATGGCTGAACTCATCTAACTACTGGGTGGTGGATTCTGGTGCAACTACCCATATATGTTTCAGTAAATCAACCTTTTATGATATGAAATCAGTTAAGAATGCATACGTTACATTACCAAATCATAAGAGCATTGCAGTAAAGTTCATTGGGACTGTGAAGTTTGGTGAAAATATGGTACTTAAGAATGTGCTATATGTGCCACAATTTAAGTTCAATCTAATGTTAGCAAGCTCATTAACCAGAGATGCCTGTATTGATGTCAGATTCTTCACTAACATGTGTATTATCCAGGACATGTGCAACCAGAAGAAGATTGACAAGGGTAAACGAGTTGCTGGTTTATACATAATGAATGCATTTGATTCAACACAAGAAGGTAGAAGTGTCAATAAGGATAATAGTAGTTTTAATGATGTTTGTGCTTCCATTTCTTCGACTGCAAATAAAATGAGTACTTATACATGGCATCACATATTAGGCCACTTATCATTTTAAAAATTAACTTTGTTAAAAGATTAGTTGTGTTTGAAAAGTGATAGACATGGAGATTGTAAATCAATTCCTTATAATAGTTGCCCACTAGCAAAGCAACGAAGGCTATCTTTTGTCTCAAACAATCATTTGTCTCCCTATGCATTTGATTTAATACACTGTGATACATGGGGACCTTATCATGCTCCCTCTTATAATGGATACAAATATTTTTTGACCTTGGTTGATGATTGTACTCGATTTACATGGGTATATCTCATGAAATACAAATAAGAAGCTAGCTGCATTATTCCCAAATTCTTTTAGATGATTGAGACTCAATTTCAAAGGAATATAAAGAAGTTTAGTTCTGACAATGCACCAGAGTTGAGGATGAATGATTACTTCAATTCTAAGGGAGTAAATCATCAGTATACTTGCGTGGAAAGACCTTAACAGAATTCAGTGGTGGAGAGGAAATATCAACATTTGCTGAATGTTGCTAGATCATTGTATTTTCAGGCTCAAATTCCTATTCACTTTTGGAATGAATGCATATTAACTGCAACCTTTCTTATTAACAGAACACCAGCATCGATTTTGCAGAACAGAAGTCCATTCATCCT